AGACTATTAACCTGTAAACTACAGAAAAAATTAGTTTCTACAAGGGAAATTCAAACAAAAATGTGCATAATATGTGGCTTTGTTAATAATCTACTAAAACGTTTTAAATTCAAAGACTCTTACTTATTATTTACCTTGCTTAGTCAGACTATTGTCCTCATCTTTGTTGTTATTATTATCCCAATATTTTGGCAGTTGTACCCACCAGCCTTCTTCAAGTGTTTGTCAATCTGGGTAACCTTTGGGGAATTTCAAACTGAACCATTTATTTAATCTTCTAGGGTAGTTTATACTTGTAATGCTATCTATATTAGACTGGCTGTAAATAATGATAATTCCTCATCCCAGAAATTCATACAGAAAGACTCAGTGTTGAGTCAAGTTATTAAGTGCCTGTTGGAAGGATAGAATAAATATCTACAAGGATCTCAAAACTCAAGATGTTTTAACTGAAATATTTTTTCAAGTAAAAAAAAGTCAATGAAAATGACTGTATCCCAAACAAAAGTGGTTCACTTAGCAATTGACAAACCCTCCATCCCCCAAACAGCAACTTCTACTTTACTTACATCCTCACCACCTATTCCATTTATTTTTCAAATAAAATGCCTAAAAATTGTTACAATTCAATTTACTTTAGACATCCAGCAGATGACAGATATTTGGATGTAAGCAAGCAAAAACACTTTTGATTAAAACTTTTCATACAAAATGTGTTCTTCACTCACTAAGCAGTTTATCAATTTATATGCAACTAAAATTCTGTGATTGTTAAGATGTAATTATCTAGAGAAAAAATGGCGCATAATCATCCCAAATTTTCTTAGAATCAGGCTACTGATTATCAAGTTTCAGACTTTTTTCTAACTTTTATGGTGTTTTCCATTTTATTTAACTGCAGGAAAGTGAGAAAAATGCAAACTACAAATTGGAGATGCCAAAATCAAGCAAGTACAAAGATTTAAATATTTGAGAAGTGTTTTAACAGAAGACAGAAAATGCAACACTGAGACCTAAAGGAGTATTGGAACAACAAACGATGCCTTCCAAAAACTAAACAAAGTATTAAGAAACAGGAAAAGTTTGTTAGAAACAAAGAGTGCTGAACTGCTTTGTAATATCAATCCTTCTATATGACAGTGAATGCTAGACAATCTCCTCACAGATGAAGAAAAAACAACAGAAATGTGGTTGTACAGGAGGATGCTGAGAATACCTAAGATTGAACATGTAAGAAACAAAAAGAATGCTTATATTTAGAATTAGAAAATTCTAAATATAAGAATCCTTTTTGTTTCCAATTTCCTTAAAATTTCCTTGTTGTTTAGACAGTTGAAATTTCTCAAACACATAATAAGAGGGCTTGGAGAATCTGATACTCACAGGACATACTGAAGATAAAAGGGACAGAGGGATGGTAGAACAAGAACTGGGAGGGATGATGATGATGAAAAGACAAACATTACTAAGAACAACAAAGGATAGGAAGTTGTGGAGAGTCATAATCATGTTATTATTCACTTATGATGACATTACTTTTAAATGTTCACAGACTAAAATTACAAAAAATACTTTAGCATTACAATTAGTGTTGCTATGACTACAGTGCATAGAATTTTCTCATGCAAAACGCTGCCATCAAATTTTCTCAAATATTGATATGAAATTCAGGTTTACATATCCTGTAATAAAAAGTTAAAATCTGTTAATCAATTCTTAAATGAATCTTTTCTTACTTTTATTCACAATCAACAAAGAGATATCTTTTCTTGAATTACATATAACATCAATGAGTTGAGATATTTAATTATCTGAAAATAAAGATTCATTTTGTCACAATACTGAAATTATCTCAGATTCTTTATAAACTCTGTGTAGTGGACAAACCAATAAGTGTGGTCAAGTTCTAGCTATAAATAGTTTTGAGAAATTAATTTTTGCAAAATAATTTACAAAATTTTAAAATCATTTTTTAAGCTAATCTATAGAATTGTATTTTTTTTGTATTTCATCCAAAGTGATTTTAATTTTCAATAAACAAATGGATAAACCAAAACAGTTCATGTAAGAAATGATTTTAAATGTTAATTTGGAAAGATTTTTTAAAATATTTAAATTTAAATATTTCAGCAACTGAAATTTTTGGTTTATTGTGTTTTTAATGTTTACTTTATTTGCTCATTTCTAATTTGTCATCATTCCTTTTGTTTAATTTCAGAAAACAAGTTAAACAAATTCCCATCAATCACTTCTAATATTGGTAACTTGACTCATTCTAATTATTCTTCTAGATCAGTGATTCTCAACTATCATGCCACAAGTGTGCCACTTAACCCTCTTAAGTGTGCTGTGAAATATTGTCACAGTATACATATATATGTGTGTGCATGTGTGTGCGTGGAAGTAGTAATGGTACAGAATTAGTATTTGAATAAATGAATAGGTATTAAACTTGAATTATGGTAAATTTGGCTTCTCAACCCTAAATAACATTAAAAAAAAATAAGAAGCGATAAAGACTACGCTCAACGAAGAAGAAATGAGGCTCTGCTTATCACACATTCAACCAAACATTAAAGAAATTGCAAAAAAAAAACACCAGGCACATGTTTAACACTAAATAAGCTGCACAAATAGTTGAATAGAAACACTGAAATAAACTAAGTTCATATTTGTGTGTCTAATTGTTTTTTTTTAAATCTATGGTTTTATTTCACAACATTTAAATTTATAGCCTTTAAGAATTTGGCTAAGTATGCCGTGATATTTCCATGTGCTGTTGTTTGAAAAGGTTGAGAAGCACTGGACCAGATAAACAGATATTTTCATCTAAAGAGTTTTTCTTTACCTGTCTTGAACAAATCCATCAATAATATCTCTGGCATGCACATCAATAATTAAGACAGTATTAAACTTTGCCCTGTCATTTTTTGACAATGGGGAACGAATCTGAAAGCAAAAAAAAAAAAAGAAGTGATTAATAGCATGAAAAAAAATATATAAAAAACAACAGTGACACAAATTGAAAAAAAAAGGAGAATGAAAACCTCACTTGAACAACAAGATCATCAATCTGGTCATGCTGTTTCTTTGCAAAGTCTTTCATAGCTGTCTTCACCCCCTTTTTCAGATGATCAAACACATCTTCTACTTCCCAGGTCCACCACACTTGGTTGCCTGCTAAACATACCATGCCAAGATAGTCAAACATCCATTGAACTCTGAAAACAAAAAAGCAACCCTTTGAGTAAATATGTAAATGGGGGGGGGGGATTTTTCCAAACTTTACAAGGCATCATTCCTTTGTTGCTTTCATCAATCCATTTTCAGCCTCCTCTCAGTGAAAATAAAGCACAACCCTGGTTTTGCTACTTTCCTTTGCTCAAGAAAGACAAACATTTTCTAAAATTGGCTAAAGGTCAACAAATATGTATGCAAAAATGGCCGCATCAACATCCAGCAAAGCCTTTATTCAGGAGTTTTTCTTTGATTTGAACTCTGATGATAATTTTGAAAGTTTTACTCAAGTGGATATTGGCGGTGAAGTGGTCGAAGATGATAACCACACTAGTGATGTGGAGGAAAGTGATGATGACCACTAGCAGCTACTATCATCCATGGTTGACTAATTTTATCGAAGCTACTGGTGACCATCAATGTACCTGACAGCCTTTCTGAAGATTAATTATTTTATCTATTTATAAACGACAAATAACTTTATTTGTCAACAAGGCAAATAAATATGCTAATCAGGTGAAAGAAAGACCAAACAAATACTGGTGTCTTCTTGTATGTAAACACGAGGAAGCATGTCACTTTTTTGACGAAATGAAAGTCTTCTTAGCCATTTTGATTCTTATTGCACCCCCAGAACTCCACAAGAAGTAATAAAAGTTAAAGTATGTTAAATTGTTAATGTATTTGTTTTTATTTTTTGTTTTTTATTTTGTGTTTCAATTTTTTTGTTTTCAACGTCAAAACATTCATGCAAAACTTAATGCATTACATCAAAATATTACTCATAGATTCTTTTATTAGTATAAAAAAAAATAAAATCTATACACAATGAAAATCCAGTCTCTTATGACAACATGTTAGAATGTCATCCTTTGATTTATCATTCTCTCACCTTGTCTTGTTATTTGCACAATAATAAAAAATAGCTTCTTTGGTGATGCGTCTGTTAGTCTTCCTCATTTCATCCAGTACACATGTCATCCAGTCTTCAACACGGCCCTCAGCCATGACTGGCTGACGAAACTCCATCATCTCTCCTTCACTGGATACCATAGCAGTGGCCAAAACTTCATTGTTTGGCCCAGTCTCAAAGCGAAGAGACGCAATATTGTCATACATCTGCAAATCAAAGCATTAAGTTACATAAATACATCAACAATCCTAATGAGGAAAAAGCATTTATTTTGCACAACAAATATTAAGTTATCAACATAATCTCCTCCTTTGTCAGTGCACTTAATTTAGTGTTTAATATGTAGGTACATAAATACAGCTGTAGGCTAATATTGAAAAAAAAAACAAAACACAAGCATTTGTTTTAAACAAAAAATAATTTTCGACATAATCTCCTACCTTGTTAATTCAGCAAACTCAATGCTTTTCTCTTACTAACATTATACAGTGAAAATTTCAGTTCAAAATTCAGCTAATAACTATCACACTATAGGCATTAATGCACCCCCCTTCATATTAACTAACCCTGGATTTTATTCATTGAATGATTTGTTTTTTATGGCTTATCAACCTTTTGCTCATTATTTAAAGCCAGAAAATATTTTTAGAGTGTAAGAATTGCGGGGGGATAATAATGATTTATGGATACAAATCCTACTAATTAACCCATAGCTGATGGGTGAAGAGGCGGATTTATATCTTCCCCATGGGTATTTGTGCATAAGTGAATATAACGAACCCAACTGGAATTCAAACTCGGCTCTTCCCATCTGAAGCCATTATCCATTACATCGCCTGCACATTCAATCTTACAGTACCTGATATTCCCAAGCGGCCACCCATCTTGGTACTAACCAGGCATGACATTGATTATCTTCAGTGATGATACAAGAACCGGTGTTTTAGTGTGATACGGCCATAAGCCATCTGATCCTAGACTAATGCTCCCACCACTGTCTCTCACACTAATATCAACATCCGGGCCCTGGTTAGAAATGCTAAAATTTATATAGATGTGTGTTTTAGGTTATTCAAAAAGTAGTGTTTACAGAGATCAAAATCAAATCAAACTTTTTAGTTTGTTAATTATGTTTTTCAGAGTTGATTTTATTTTGAGGACAAAAATCAACTCATTTCAAAAATGGAATTATTTTGTGCTAAATTGTCTTATTTCATTTATACATTCTCTAAAACCATGCACAGATGGAGCCACATTTGTTTTTATTCTTTTCCTTATTTTAATATGAAAGATTTAGGCACAATAATTATAACAATAATTTAGAGACAGTGCTATTTTTATTAATAAAGCTATGGGTTAAACAGCAGGGTAAACTGGGCTCTCTTGCCTTGGTTGGAACCTATTCTAGGAGAAGTACATATGAAGTTAACCCCATCTCATCCTTATATTGTCAGTATAGAAACGTAGTAGTTTCAGCCATTGAAAGGTTCATGTCTTGGATCACTATCTTTTCTGCTTTGATAGCTGTCATCCTGACATGTTCAAAGGGAGTTAGGGTGAAAGTGCAGTCTGCAGGATTAGTATGCAAGCTGTCAAAAGGCCAAAAATGACAAAATGTCTTTGTCATTCTGAACTGGGTGGGAGCCTGACCTAAGTAAGTATTTTTATTAAATAAATATATATGAACAAATAAAAGGAATAAATGAAAGAACAATCACCAAATAGAGAGAATGAAAATATTTAATGCTGGATGACGTCTGTGAAGTATTGAGACAAATTTCTTTTTCTTCAACATTCTACAATATTATTGCCAATATTATTGTCAATATTCACATTCATGAAACTCATTGTGGTAGATAATGTTGTTTTTTGGGGGGTTTTTGGTCATAAATTCTCAGTGGCATTCTCTCAATGCTAATGTCTTCAAATCCAGCACTGTGTTTTACATTGTCATGCTGGAAAATCCATGACCAACCCATCCTGAACTTATGGCAACATGACCTTATCCAATATTTCCAGAAGATTTACTTTCCATAATTCCCTTAATTTAATATAACTGACCAACGCCCTTTCCAGATATACAACCCCATACTATGGCACTCCCTCTTCTGTGTTTAATCATGGCTCTGATCTGGAGAGGGTCTATGCTACACCTACCCTTCCAGTATACACCTTAAAATCAGACCCATAAATGTTAACTTTCAGTTTGCATTCTATATAATTTCAAAGCATTTTTCCAGATTCCAGTCTTTATCCCCTTTGGCAAACTGGACATATGTTTGCTTATATTATAGGGTGATGAAATACAGGTCATATCATATTCATATACAGGTCATATTATATTCATATAGATGGAATACAAGTCATCTCATATTTTAACTGATTCCCTCAAGACATACTATTTTAAAAAGCATAAAATTTGCTTTAATTTTGCATGGAATGTCATAGTCAAAAAAATAAATCAAAGCAAATTGTGATACCATGTGACACTGGTAAAAAGAAAGGGTTAATTTAGAATATGAACTGGAATGGATGAAAAGCATTAACAGTACAGAATAACATATAAACTGAAAGAAGGAAGAAAAGACAGACCTGAGAAAAATGACTTTATTGGTTTTGGGAAAAGTTATTATCGAAGGGCCATATGGAAGGGCTAAGTAGGAATAGTGAAAATACATTCAAAGTCAGTTGAGAATTTTGGAAACAGAAGCAGAAATGGAGAAACTGATTTATTTTTTGTTAATTAAAGTGGAAGTTACAAAAACATGTCTCATAATTGCCAGGTGGAAAAAGGAGTCAGTTGAAATATAATATTTGGTAATTTTGAAGATGAAGGCAGAATTGAGAAACTGATTTATGCCTGTCTGTCAAAGTGTGGAAATGCAAACGAATTGTGAAAGAGGATTTTTTGAGATAAGAAACAAACCTCTAAGGTTCATAAGTACGATTAAGAGAACAAGATATGAAAACAAATACTGCTATTAGCAAGTCAAAAAAAAAAAGACAAGTGGTAAATCTCTAATTGCCTAAAGTAGACTGGGGGCTGATAAAAATTTGTTGTTGAAAATTAAAGATAAATACAATTAATGACTAAAAGTTAAAACTGCTTTTCACCTACATGGTTTAAAAATCAAATTTGTCAAAAAGACAGCCAAAGTGGAGGAATTAGATGAGATACTAAGAGAGAAGAAGGAATTACTGACACCCATTTGGAAGTAATGATGTGAGGCATAAATAAGAGAAGGAATGAGTTGTATGATCAAGAAACACCCAGTGGGCAGAGCAGGGTGTGGACCGATGTGGACAGCGACCAATGACCATTAACCTATGACAGTGTTAAACAGCTTGGGATTGATCCTTCAATCAACTGATTGTCCTGCGACCATGAGGGACAAGACATCTTCTGATATAGGCAGCATGTAGCAAGGGTCAGATCGTCTGGTCACTGATGACCAGGCTGACCTAGGATTGACCAAGACATGGCAGGTTATAAATAAATATTTTAAAATGAGCATATTCATGCCCCTGCATTAATGCTACAGTATATCTAATATTTATTGGCACATACATATACCATGTACACACACACACACACACACGCGTGTGTGTGTGTGTGTGTGTGTGTGTGTGAGAAGATCTAAATATAGATATTGCTGATCATACTTTTTCACAATCAATATAGATAAAGTAAACAAACAAAAAAAAATTAGAAAGAGAAAAGATAAGGAAAAGATGTTTTTTTTTCCTTTTTTTTTAACCTCTGACCTTGATGATGTGTTCCTGGACACAGGTTGGTTCACTGCTGCCAAGAATACTAAGCAACTCATCATCCGAAATGAAAAAAAAGCGAGGAAAGGCATTTCTCTTGGAATCTAAATAATCATTGAGGGATTTCTGGCACTTTTCCAATCCGAGGCTGAGCAGCTCTAAATCTTGAAGTCGATTTGGTGCATGGCACGCTTGCTTGATTATCGGATTTTTATGTGTTTCATTCATTATCTGTGAAATACAAAATCCAATTTCTATTTTTAAGAGAAATAAAAGAACAGAAAAATCAAGGAAAATCTTTCTTTTCTATAATGAATTTCCATCAAAGGCAGTGAGTTGCTTTGTATCAGTTTCCAGAATTCTGTATTACATAAAGTGTTTACACAGATCTTCATATACATGTTCATATAATCCTTGTATATAGGTATGCCTATATCTAGACACATGAGTAAAGACATCAATAAGTCTGTAGTCAAATGATGAGAAATGCATTTATTTTACACAAGAAATGTTTATTTTTCAACATAATTACCTTTCTTTTCAATGCACTTAATTCAGTTGTAAATACATAAGGTTATTAATAAATTTGTAGCCTAATGATGAGAAAAGCATTTATTTAACAATTTTTTAAATCCATACATAAAACAATCAGTTAAAAATAAAATTCATATTGATAATGGCTAAAAGTATATCAAAAGCAATATATATATATATATATATATATATATATATATATATATATATATATATAAAAAAATGTACAGTTCTCCTTACCACTTCATGCTTCGACTTTTGTGACTTCATTTTCAGATATTTTCATTAAAAAATCATATCAGGGTTCCTCACTGCTTTGCAGTTGACTATAGTCTACTACAGGGTTGGAAAAATGTTCTTGCCCAGATTTCAGGAGCAGACACACAGCCAATCTTTCAGTTGATTGAGACAGTGAAAATAATACAGCATGCATTCGGTTGTCTGAGTCAATTATACACCCCTGTATTAAAATTACTGTAGGCCTATGTATTTGACCACCCCTGCAAATCCTTCAATGCCAGGTGCAGCTACTTGACCACTCCTTGTGTGTGGGCAAGAACTTTTTTCCAGCCTGCATTATTCAAAAATCGGGTGTGGTGAAACCAAGGCAATCAGAACTTGCTGTTCACCGATTGGCTATTGTTGTGGGTGTGCTGTGGATCACTTGTTCGTGATGTGTTTGGTTGCATGTTGGTACAAAGGAAACCACAAACAAAATTGTTCAGAAGACAACAAACCAAGTACAAAACAACAAGACAATAGTATTTGATTAAAATAAAGCCAAATTTTATTTTTGGCAACAAAAGCAAAACTACATACAAAGATATTTATGCAAATAGAATAATTGATTTCAAGTATGTGCTGAAAAGAAAATATTAAATTATGCTTATTAGTCCTTCCAAGGTATAAAGTAGGTTTATGCAAATGATTTAGAGAAAAAGTAACCATTGTTGTGCAGTATATCTCTTCATCGCTTCATCATTGAACAAGTTGCATTATTTTCCTAGGTTCACACTAACCTAGGAAAATAATGCAACTTGTTCAATGATGAAGCGATGTACACGTAAGAACTTTGTGTGTCATTTTAATGTACAATAATAATAATATGATATTTGTAATATCTAATATGTCTTATTTTCTCTTGTTTTGTCTAATATATTGGGTAATATAAGTGTAAAGGTGACTACAGGTCATGAAATCGTCTAGAGAACTCTTATGATGTCAAAAACCATATTTAGAAGGTTGTAAACAGGTTTCTATGCTCTAACTATGAAAATATTTGATTTATAAATAAAGAATCCTACTTTGCAGAAATTCACTTATGATGGTAGGGTCTGGAACTGATTAACTGTGATAAACAAGGGACAACTGTATTCGGGCAGCAATGCCTCTTTTACAAAAGTTTCATTAAAAATAAACTTCCTAGGTACTGCAGTTATTTATTTAATTTTTCTTGTGTTCTTATAATTGTCTTCTCTTTCTGGACATGGAGTGAGAGGATTAAAAAAGAAAAAAACAATTGACTAACAAAATATGTCTGCAGACACTGAATGACATCTGTCTATGTATTTGTATCTATTAGTCAATAAGAAGAAACTAATAAAGAATGTCTCGATAATCAATGGACACATTTTAAGAGGAAAAAAGCTGATGACAATT